GGACGTCTTGTCACCCTGTGCTGCAGCTCAGTGTGTTTTTTCCAGGTGTTTTTGAAGGCGTGTCTGACTAGCTGCTAGGCAAGCACTATGATCTACTTTCTTATGACCTCACTAGAAAGCGGAAGAAAAGGCTGGACTACAAACTAGCTGTTTTCAGGCAGTTCAGAGCAGTGTTTTCTGTGGGACATGGGAACTCCCTTTGGGGTGGACTTTGGGCTTTTTCCACTTTGCAGAACTATCACATGCACAGAAAAGGTATATAACTCAATAAAGCAGAGGGAAAAATCAAAAAGAATAATATGAACTCTTTAAGGTGGCTCAACTCTTCTCTTGAAGAGGATTGTAAAGCTGTTGTATTCATCTTGTGGCCTTAGTGATCTCAATAATGAATGCACCTTGGGTTCTTTGTGTATTACACTGCAATTCAAAGCATAGTCCTTGTGCCGATGTGGACAAATGAATCACTTTATTGAGTGTGGCTTTTAAAACCAAATCACTGAATACAACTTGTTGTGTAAAGCCTGAAAAATGAGTCAAACTAAATGTTTTGTTTGACTGCTGATTCCTGACATTTTGCACCTGTGTGCAGAATGTTTTTTGCCAATATTTCACAGGTTGGAAAAGCTTTTGAAACAGCATATGAAACTAAAATACTCAATTAGAAATTCATGAATGACACAAAGCCCAATTTCTGATAAAAGGTCAGTAAGCCAATATCTTACTTCATGCTTGTTTCGAGAGAAATAGACATACACAGTAGACAAAGCAAATACATCTTAGATCTTTACCTGATTCATATGTGATTTTCTATTAATTATTTTACCTCTTTTCTTAAAAGACATGATACATCCAAATAGGCACATAACTACGCAGCTGAGACAACAAGATACTGTATAATATGTTGGCATTCACTGCCAGAAAAGAGTTAATTCCAACTGATTTTGTTGGAGTATCTCACATCACATCACTGTGGCATCTTCCACACCAGGCCGGATCAGTTTCTTGGGGTTTGGGGGCCCTACCTTAGGTCTCTGGACCCTGGCCTGGCAAATGCTGTGCTGCGGGGAGTCGGAGCGGGTATGTTATTTTTTCTTTTACCTCTTTCTTTTGCGTGTGTGTTTCCTTTTGTTATTTTTTTCTGTCAACTTGAAGTATTTGTTTATGTTTTTGCTTTAGTTATTGTTGATTGTTTGTATTCATTTCTAGCGAGTGAACTTGGGCTGAGTGTGACAGACATGGTTAAGGACTTCGAAAGTCAGTCCCTCCAGGATTTGGGGGACCATTATTGTGATTGTTGTGGCCTAAAATGCCTGGTTTTGCTGCAGCTTTTCTAAAATAGCAATGTTTTTGGACGTTTTTTGCTATGAAATTGTGGGGATATGTGAAAATTGCAAAGGTAGAAGTGATATTTTTAACTTTAGAATTATAGTTGAATCATTAAACAGTCCTCCAGGATTTCGCAGGACTAACTCTAACCCTAACCCTTATGATGGATATTTAAACTAGCTTACTCAGATTCTTTCAGCACTTGCAATTGACCGAGATGGAACAGCCTGTGTCACAGTGATTTGTCTCACCCGACATGCTCCAGGATGTGTTTCTGCCTCTTTCTGCATATGTTTTGCAGTGGAAAAGTGTTTGTCAAGAGACGATTTCTTTTTATGTTTGACCACAATACTGCACATTTTGCTAAACAGTTTACTCCCGCTTTGGTAGATCAGGTACCTGTACCACAAAGCAGTATTTGAGCTTAGTAAGGTACTTTGAGGTTGATCCTGAGCAAGTTATGTTTGAGATAAGAGATCAACTCTATAAAAACACAGCCTACTGACCAATCAGCTCTCTTGGATATTGACATCACCATCCGTAGGAGAGAAATTAAGTTTAATATGAATGTTTAATGTAGGTTAGTAGCTATCATATGTTAGAGAGACTGGTCATGTAGCAATTCACCTTTTGCTATGTGGGCGCAGCTTGATTTCTTATCTTGAGTTTTCAGTAGCCTAAATGTTGAGATTCAGTTGAGATTTGACCACCTTTTGAGCACCTTTCATGGCATGAATGGAGTTTTTGAGTTTTGTTGCTTTATGAATTTAATTTAGAACAATGTATAGAACACTTTTGAGTGTGTTAAATAAATTAATCAGAATTTTCAAGTGATGAGAATTCTTGAAAGTGAGTTGGAACAACCACTTATTCAGAGTCTTTTAATGTGGAAACGCAGACACACAGCCAAGTTCAAAGAAAAAGGCTAAAATTGTCACATCAAATGAACCTATTCATATTATAGGGTACGCCTTTTAGTTTAGGCACTGTAGGCGATTTTCTTTCTTCCTGCATGTGTCAGCTGCAGCTGTGTTACGTATACTATGTTGTATTTGTCTAATATTAACATCATAGCCTAAATTGGGAGCCCAAACCTAAGTTGGTGTTTAGGAATATTCCCCCTAAACTATTTGTCAAACAGAGACATTTTTCTTTCATTCTAATGAATTTATGGAGTAAGTCATTTGTAGAAATGCAAGAGAACATGTTTTATTTGAACATTGGAGAGGACACTTATTAAGTGGGCGGGCTGGGGGACCTCCCCCAGAAAATTGTGAGGATTAAACACTTAATTTCCTGCATTCTGGAATGCATTCTGCACCAATTTCAGTCTTTTATGTATCAATTTATGGAGAAAATGTCTCTATTTATATAAAATGAGATACAAATATATAAAATTCAGGTGGCAGGTAAAGATTCAAAATAAAAAATAAAAAATAGGTTATAATGTTGTAAGGCTCTCAAGCATTCTGTAGTCTTCCCTCCCTTTTGTCTTCCCTCCTCTTTAGTGTCTGTTGTATGGGGAAGTAACCTCCTTCATTGTGGCACATTTCACCCAATGATAAATTTATTAATTTTAATTCCCTCCTGGACTTTAATAGCTCCTGTTTTACAGCAGGTTTTCTGCTCATGTTTAAAAATTTCTGCACTAACAAAATATCTGTGTTCTCTGACATGTCAAGAAAAAAAGTCGGAATGTTACGAGCATGACGTTGACGCTGACGTATGACAACGTTTTGTGGGAAATGGAGATGATAGGTCAAATTTGCAGGAAAAGTTGCAGTCACTGGTCAAAATTGCAAGTATTTCTTGAATTTTTGTTAATAGTTGTGATCGCGACTAGGGACAGGAAAAGTGTTAAGAAAAGCATTGTTGATTTGGGTCATTTTATAAAATTGAGTAAGAATAAAGAATAACACCAGCCTTATCCTTTAACATTTCTTATATGCAGGATCTGTTGATGTTTGACACCTAAAATAGTGCATAACACTGTCAAATACTGTCTGATGACTGTGCTTTTAATTTATTAATTACTTATTATAAAGTAATCTTATTATATTGTAATTTCGCAATTTCACTTTTGTGTGCTTTTGTCCAAACAGCACCTATTGCATGTATGTTCATACTGCAAGATGTTTTCTTCCTGTTAAAAATGTTGTGTTTGTTTGTTTGTTTGTTTGTTTGTTTGAAGTTTCCTTATCCAAATCAATGATCTATCTGATCAAGTAAGTGTGTCTGGTGTTTTTCAAATTGACTTGGCTTTGGGTAGGATCAATCATCGCTATCACGAAAGTGTGATAAAATAAAATAAATTATAATGAAAAACCAGACTCAATCCACAGCCTGGGGTGTACTTAAGTACAGCAGTACTTTGAGCCAAATGCTAACTGAGGTTTTTACAATTCATCATCTGGGGACCATGAATACCACATTTTATCCATCCAAAAACTTCAAGATTTTTAAATTAAAACAAAAAATGTCAACTGGCTAGCGGCTCTACAGAAGAGTCAGGGGATAACCAAAGTCATTAGAATACATCATCTGGTGACCATGTATATCTGTATTAGATTTTGGTGCCAGTTGTTGAAATATTCCTCTAAATAGGTCAAAACTTTGACTTGATGTTAGTGCTAGATGACTCAGAGAATAACCAAAGTCAGTAGGAGTCATCCTGTGGGGGACATCAATGCATGTAGAAAATTTCATGACACAATCCAGTACTTGTCAAGATGTTTTCGTCTGGACCAAAGTGGTGGATGCACAGACATACAGACTGTCATTGCCAGTAGCATGGATAACAAGGTTTCCTCATGCATGACAGCTGTGTATGAGGTGAAAGCGAAAAAAAAAAACAGGATGTGAGGTGGAGTAACATTTCCTCCTCTGAATCTTTTTTTTTGTTGTTAATGTGCCATGATGATTCATAGGGCATTAATTCACCTACAAACATCTATGCTTTCTTATTATCCCAGCAGCTTTTGAGTGTCTTTTTTAAGTTTTGATACCTGGTGGCTGCTCATGCTCCTTTTCCTTTTTGATGATGTTGTGGCACCTGAAACCACTTATTTATTTCCACAGCACATCTAACAAAGACAATAGACTACACTTTTTAGAAGATTAAGTGTGGGCAGTTGTGTGTTTCTTGTGTGCTTGTGTATATGTGTGTGCACACACTCCAGTAGGCATTGCTGTGTTCTGAGCATGTGAGGTGAGAGGGTTAAAGAAGCCACTGAAGTACTGAGTTGTATTGATTGGAAGTTCCCCAGTGCATTGATTATAAGCCCTATGAAACCAGACAAGCAGAGGATTTAAAGCTCCACTGCAGTGATATTGACGGGTGGAATACTACCATTCTACTCCTGCTCAGCGTTTGAAAGTCTGTTAGTTTTTGTGTTAGTTTTTATTGTCTATGCTTAGTCAGTGCTTATATGGCACACATGCCATTTTAGCAGAGGAGTGAGAGAGGACATCGTGGGACATCTGGGATTCGCTCCAAGTTGAACCGGACTTGTGACAGAATGTGGACTATCATAAGAGTCACATCTTTCTAAGATGTTTTTTTTTCATTGTACTCTAAATATCAAAAGAATTATCATGGCAAAGTCGATCTGAAATGTGTATTATGTTTGTGCTGCATGTTTCTAAGGGTGTGTGTGTCAATTTTCTCTCTACAGAGCTCCATGTATTCTCTGGCCCTGAAGTGTCTGATCAGTCTATCCACAGTCATACTGCTGGGCCTCATCATAGCCTACCATGCACGGGAAGTTCAGGTAAAACACATGCACATACATCCACAGGCAGACATACACACTGACATCTAAGCTCTTTCCATAGAGTACACAATATGTTTCTGTCCCTCAGGCTCCTGAGGAAGACCAAGGGACCCAGGTGTGTGTCGGCTCCAGCCAATTAATGACATTAATGAGAGTCATAGTGGGATAGACCAAACTAGATAGATATGCACTGAATGTTAAATACACACTCAGCCAATAACAATCATTCAGCAATAGATGCACAGAGAACACACATAAACATACAAACACATGCACGCAAGCCACACAAGTGCACATAGCCTCAGCCTCTTGCAAGGTTGAAACAATCAATCAGAAATGCTTTCATGCTTCATGATATCTGTTTTGCTGTTTGTCATTTCACTAATATAATGGTACCACAGTCATTTAGCTGTGGTTTCATCTGAAGCCATTTGCAATCGATGCACATTGACTATTTATGGGAGCCTTGCGGGAATCAGACCCAATGAGTGCCCCCACACCAGCTATTACTCCCACCAGCTAAACCACGGAGGAGCAAGTCTCATCCATCTAACCACATATTAGTTTAATGCTGTTACTTTTTTTCATTACATCAAAGCTTGGATGTTGCTGGAAATGTCTATTAAAGTTCCAACGGGTCTGAGATAGGGATTCTGATGCATTCTGCTCTGAGGTTCAGGCTTTCCTTCTGTGGATCAATAACTAGACGACCATTGCTTATTCACTGTCATACACAGGGTCTGATACACTGGCAATCAGTCTGTAATAGGCAGTCACTCTGTATTAAGATTCACAGCGAAAAGGAACCGAGTCAGTTTATGCACATGTGGTGCCCGTGCAGTGGTGTGTGTGTATACATGGCTAAGAATTCATTGATAATTTGATGTCACATTCACATACGGAGTCAGTCATCCTCCCACACACACTGTGGCAGCTGCACGTGACAGGCACCCAAGACAGGAAAAGAAGACATTGAGAGTAGCTACTGTAAGGCCAAGAGAGAGACCGAGATAGATGGAGAGAGAGGTCTTGGTAATCTCTTTGAGGAATCAGTTATCAGTTTTGATTAAATGAAGTTTGGAGTTTCAGGGGGTTGCTGTGAAGGTACGGGCAGCAGTGTGGGGGAGGTGATGTTTGGATTTATCCCAAAATCATTTTTAATAATAACCTGAGTGAGGATGGTGATAATTTGTATGCATTTTTTACCCCACACCGTCTGACAGCTTTAAAGGATAATCCTGCTTTATTACAACCTGAGTAGTACTTGTCGTTTCCCCATAATTTCAATTGGTTATTATTATAACACTGTACTCACTAAAATTGCTGAAATCTGGGAACACAGTGACACTGCAGTCAGGTAATAAGACAGGTTTCAACTAATCCAATAGCTTAGCCAGTTTAGCTAAACCACTTAATTTAAACAACTAAGGGTGGTAATTAGTTTTACTGTCAGACTTTGTGTCTCTTCCAAATGAATTTAGCTAATTTAGGGGTTTTGTTTTAAACGTGTCTGATCAACTGACCACTCGTGAGTCACACCCGTTGGACCCGTGAGTACAATGTTATTATTACCAATAGATATGATGGCCACAATTACACAAATAAAACCCAACTTGTGGTAAACTGATATTATCCTCTAAATTATTTCTATATAAAAGGGGAGTGTTCCTTAAACCTGCAGTAACAAGTCTGTGTCAGTGGAAAGGACCTGAGAACAACTTTTTAAGCAGATGTGGAAAACCTGTTTGAAAACAGTTGCTTATTTACACATCCAGCAACACTATCATTCATTTGGACTTGTGTTTCAGGACACCTGGAGAATGTAAGTCCAATATTCACTCTGTTAACTCTGTTTTGGTCTTCACCAAATCCTGTGGAAATATCTGGATCTGCTGCTAAATTCTCCACTATGTTCACCAGCTACTCTCTAACTCTGTCTGTCTGCTGTTTGGTGCTGAGCAGGGAGCATACAGTCAGTTTTCAGAGCTTTTTCACTCAAAACTGCTGCCTTGTGAGGCCAAAAACAACACTGCTGAGGTGAGACTGAACCAAAACAGAAAATGTGTAGGCTAGAAAACCTTAGCATTAAGCAGAAGGACTCTGTAGAGCCGACGGGAACTGCACAATGATTATTCTGTGGGTAAATCACTACTAAGAACCCCTTTCATACAATACTGCAAATGGATTAAAGCCGCTTTTCCACAAATTGGGAAATTTGCTAATTTGTTGTCTTTCTGAGAGTGAGATCATTATCACTCACATGTCTATATAGAGCTGTAGTCAGGACACGTTTAGCCTAGCTTAGCACTAACTGAGAACTAACTGAGAAGACCAACTGAACGCAGGGTGAGGCAATGCAAAGTTTGCCCCTATGCATTTTCAATGAGCAAATCGCTTCGCAAGGCAGTGGGGGATTCCAGGCACTGCAGGACTGACTGGTGACACAAAAAACCAGAGGGGTTGAAAGTTTAACACTTTTACCTTTATGCAAATTAGAAATTCGCCTGAAGGCTCCGCAATGTCTGTGGAGGAGCAGATCATATTGTGCTTTCTGGGTCCCTCTTTTGTATGTCCCTTGCCTCCAAGATTACAGGTACAAATAAAAAATTACACTTAAACATCATAGAATGCTTATCACATAATGTTTGCTAACCAGTAAGCTACCTGCTAATGTAGCTTGTGAGCGGTGACAGGGCAACAGCAGCAAGCGAGAAGTGTTGAAGGCCTGATTTGTTCACTGCCAGTGACATAAATAGAAATGTAAAGACAACAATTTGTGGTTGTAGGTTGAGTTACATCCATAACTCAACATTGACTGACAGCGTGCAGCATCACAGAGTGCATGCAAAACTGCTTTCATACACGTGAAACCATACATGTTTCATTACATGAACGTTCATTTTTATTATTCAGTACCTGCCTGCTGACACCAAGCCTGCCTGCTTGTATACATCAGCAGCATAAGAAGTGCCTGTTTGTCTCCGTATTCTATTTTATTTTTTTTTTACACACACACACTGATACACACCATGAGAAGCAATGCTGTGCAAAATAAAAGGCACTGTTCAATAAAGATCTCATCCCCAGATTACGACACACTCTGCCGGAGCATTTTGCCCAGCATGTAACAGGATATTATATGCACGTACGCACACACACACACACACACACACACACACACACACATATATTTATATATATATATTTATATATTTGCACAGAAGGTTGGAGAAGCAAGTCGCAAGAGATCAGAATGCTGTTATCGGGTTTAGCTAGCATTTATACCACCACCTTTTTCTCTCTCTCTCTCTCTCTCTCTCTGTCTCTCACACACTCTTTCACTGATCTCCATTCTTCTGTCCACCTGTCTTTTATCTCACAGTATTCTTTATTTACCATCAGTGTGCTTCTCTTTATCTGTCTTTTTTCTTTATTTCTCACCCTGCTTATCTGATCGGATCTCTGTGCTTTCTCCTCCACTGGGCCTCAATTCAATTTTGTTGTTGTGTTTTACATCCTTTCATTCTGACTCCTCTCTTCCCTTGTTACTCAGCATTCTACTTCTCACCAATTCTCCTGTTATACTTAAATACTTGTCTGCATTTCTCTAACTCTAACACCTTTATGCTTTTTTTGCCATTTCCATTCGGTGTTTTGGTGTCTTGCCTCTCTGTCTTCCTCATTTGGATGTTTTCCTCATCTTCCTCCTCTCTCTCCATCTTCCCTGTCTCTTCTAATCTGTCAGGGGACAGTCCAAACCAATTGTGCTCAGCATGAAATAAGGAATTGCAATCAGTCTAGACTACAGATTACACATTTCTCCCTTTTTCACTGCCATCAAAGAAAATAATTTGAGTTCTTATTAACTACTGACAGTAAGTAGCTTGTTATGGAGGAGAGATAAGTGTTTCCTATATAAGCACGCTGTAACCAACATGAACATCTAGCAGAAGTGTGTGTGATTTAAAGGTTTTTGCATTCCAGCATTATAGTGAAAAATGACAGGGAGCTGACATGAATTTGTTCTTTTTTTTCATTTTTAGAAGTGAGAACATTGCAGTTTTGTGTTGTGCTCAGTCAGCAGAACCACATTGATACCATTGGGTTTCTTTCATTTTCAATCCAAGAAACTGGAAAGTTAAAATCCTGGCTAAAAATGAAATCAGATCCGAACTTGCTGCTGAAACTTTGATTCTCATTAGTTTACTGTGTGTTTAGATGAAATCAGTAGAGCACTAATTAGCACATCGCCAAATGATCGAAATCCTCTTACAGTGAGATGTCTGCTATTAAAATACCCAAATATTAGTTTCACAGTCATGTTCCAACACAATTCTTACCAAAGTCATCAAAAAACAACATCATCATCATCATCATCATCATCATCATCAAAATCTCATCATCATCTATTATTTATTAGTTTTAGAAGATTTCAGAATTTTATTGATCAGATGTGTTTGAGACCCTTCACCACATTAATTGTACAAACATATCTAAATTTTGGGGATTCAAGTACTTTTGTTTATAATTTCATATTTACAAATGCATAGTTTCATTGTTACATTAGTAAATCAATTATAGCTTAATTAAATTAGACTTTGAAGATTTATAGATGTTATAGCATTTCATAATGGGAATTTTCTTCATCGATACCACAAATATCCTCAATATGTGCTCATTTAAGTGCTGATATTACAGTACAGTACTGAACAAGTCAAATGACTGAAATGCTGATAGTCTAGGACAAAGCCTGTGGTTGAAAAATGCTGAAAATGTGAGACACTTGTGAGTACTTCTGTTGTTTGTTTGTAATATGTGGAAGAATGTTGTTCTGATTATGTCTTCTTGGCAAAAATGTACCGTTCTCAAGGTGGTTATTGGTGTGTTGTGTCTGGTATTTCCAACTCTGCTGTGCAATTTGCATAAAAGCACAAGATTGGACTGCAAGTGGCCATCAGACTCTGCTTGCTCTGGCTCAGTGAGAAAGTTATGACATT